CCACACACCTTAATTCAGAGCATTTGTATCTTTTGAAACCAAATTCAAATTTTGATTATCAAGATTAATGTACAGCCCCTTAAGTAACAAACATGCTTTGTGTTTGGAATTCATATCGTCTGACATTCAGGCTCCAAGCCATTTCCAGCAACTTTGTCTCAAGTCTACTCGGCCTCAAAATGCATCTCAGAAGACCATCTACAAAGTCAAGTAAGAGAAAATTTACCTGTCTATTTCATTCTGTACCTCATCAATATGCTCAATTGCTTCCTGTTGTTCTTTTTCTGCAAGAAAAATTTGCATAAGGCTCAAAGCAAATTAGAAATCAAATTAGTTTACTTTTCAAAAAGTTTATTCTATTACAAAGGTTTAGCAGATGTTAGACGCTGACCAGGATGTGAAATACCTCGCCATGAAGCTATTAAAACTACAGCACTGTCTACCACCAGGCATGCTCTCCACGTGTTCCTACAGCCAGTTGGCAAATAGCTTTTTAATGAAAGGCCTTTCAACTCGTGCGATGTGCTACACGATTCAGACCACATTTGACTGTGTAGTACTTAAAAAGAATCCCATAATTGAAAAGACAACAATCACTAAAACTCCTAACCTTTTTGAGAATAGCCTTAACCTCGCTATTTATTGAGGACTTCTAAGTCATACTACTTGCTGGCCAGAACAGAAGGGCTGACCCCAGGACGAAAATCCCAGGGAACCTCCCACGGTAAAAAGAAGCGCCTTTCAAAGTTGCAGATTCTGCCCAGCCTCTGGGGGTAGACACACCTACAACGCAGGTTAGCAGTCGACCCCGACTCCACTCCACTATGGTAACCACGCGATGGGGGCCCGATCGCTCTTTCTAGTCCCCCAACCCCAATTCGCGCAGGCTGGCGGCCTCCGGCCGCCGCCCCCAACCCCCGCGGATCGCGCAGCGCACTCGCAGGGAGCAAGCCTTGTTGGATCCGGCCCCCCGGAGGCACTGGGGAGCGCGGCGCCCTTTCTGTCCCGGGCGGGGGGCAGCAGGGCGCGCTTCCGGCCATCGGGCAGGCGCGCAGCCCCCGG